CAGGATCTTTTCAGGAGAGGAAGGGGTGGAAGGGAGAGATCAAAGCTATTCTTATCTCCTCATTGCCTTTCTGCCAAGAGACACTGCCACTTTCTGTATGTCAAAGTTGACTCAAATGTCAGGAACAAGAGAACCACAAAGTAGAAATACAGGTATTTTCATTCCACTACCAAGGGAAGTATAAAGAGAGACTTCTAAGCGTGCTAGTAATACAAAGAAAAGAAGAGATGGCCTCTCATTTAAACTCCTGGCAGAATTATCTGTGATAATGCCAACAGAGAAGCTGGCAAGATTTAGCAACTCTAGTTCTAAAAGAAAAGTTTATTCCAGGCTTGCAGTTGTAAGGAGGTTAAAACAAGTTAAATTAGCAGGCTTGTAAGTAAAGATATCATCTACCACCAACCCACACCCCACACTATGTGTGATTTTCACATGTGCTTTTAGCCCTGAATTTTGGAAAGTATCATATTTACAATGACTGGTGAAAGAAGAAAGTAGAACTAACCTCACACAGAGTGGTAATATACTTCCCAGATGACTCAAAACCAGCTCTTTCTACCAGTATTGTTTAAAACGTGACACCAATCTGGCAAGACAGAAATTCCAACCAGAATATAGCCATTGCTATACTCTGACCGTTTATGCTGCTCAGCCACTGACAGCTTCACCCTGCTGTCCAGATGAAAACTCTCCCTCTTGATCCTTCTAGACTGCTTGTCTAGGGAGCTTTTACTTAAGTGCAACTCTTAAAAAATTGTATTAGTATAACAGTAGTGGCCTTAATCTGGGGCTGGTTTGTTTACACGGCCTTTTCTAATCAAGCATTAGCACGTTCCTCCCTGCAGGACTACAAACAAAATGTTCAGGTTGCCCATCAAACACTGCTTGAAGTCCTCCAGTCAGCACTTGCAGGAGGCTGGGAGGACCTGTCAGTAAGAGACTACCCCCATCCACACCTCCTTACCTGCTCTCAGTGTTAAAAACCTGCTATCAGTGTCAAAGACAAATATATGGTTTTGACTTGACTCATTACAGCCACTTCTCCCAGCCCCAGGCAGGCTCAAGAAGAGCTTGAGACAAGGAACAATGTAAGTGCATTCCTATGTACCCACACGGGTGGGAGCAGCATCAGCCCGGCCCGTGTATGTCACAGACACCTGCCCAGCACAGCCACAAATCCCTAACCCCTCACAGCAACACCCTTTGGAGCAGGACCCACGTTAGCCATCCATCGACTGCTACCACATAGACTTGTGAATTCCTTGCTTTGCACACTTTTTGGACTTCTGCAATAAAAATACTGATCTATGCTCGTTTTTTTCTATTAGATCTTATTATGCACTTCAGAGACACACACAGACTGCACAAACACAGCAAAACAGCCACTCACAAATATGCTGCTCTTCAATATCCACCTCCACATCCAGCTGCACATAGACAGTAATTTGGTATAAAGAAATTGGGCTTGACTACTTTGTTGCCAATGGGAATCAAGTAGTCATGCATTTAAAACCTCAGCCAAAATCAGAGTGTTTCCTCCCACATTCATGGCAGAGTCCACATAAAAAAATCCACAAATCTTTACCCAAAGCAGCACAAAAAGGGAGCAGACTTATTTGAAATAAGGCTGAATTTCAGCTACCACTGAGAAGGTGCAGGCTTATAATCAGAGCCAAAACCAAGACCCACGTTAATGGCTTCTTACAGAGCTGTTGTGCAACTTGTATTTCCGCCAGAATATCCGTTTGCTACCTGCAGAGCAGCTCTGCAGGGTCAAGGCCCCCAGTACAGGTACACGGCTGGCTGTAGAACACCAGCTACATGGGGTGGGTCCTCCCCAGGGGCAGAGCTTCCTGTTTCCCTTTGTTGAACCTCTGAGGTTCCTGCCTGCCTATTCCTCAAGCCTATCCAGGTGCCTCTGAATGGCAACACAATCATCAGGTCTATCAACTTCCCATCTTGCATCACCTACAAAATTCTTCACCTAGCCCTATTAATATGTTATTCATAAAGAGATTGTACAGTACTGGACCCAGTACTTCTCCCACAGACTGGAATTACACCTGAAGCATTTAAAGGACTTCAGTAAACCAGAATCAAAACTTTCAGCACAGCAAACCAGGTGAGAACTAAGTTCTGTAGCAAAAGCATGACCAGCACGGGAACTGCTCTGCAGAGCAGGAAGCAGCCACTGACACAGCCTCGCCCTCTGCTCCTTTTACCGCAGCATGCTCTGCAGCCCAAGCAGTCAAACTTCTCACAGCTATCCAATGTAAACTAACCAAGTTTTTCTGTTATGCAAAGGCTCACCTATACAGAGTATCTTCCTCCACAAAACATTTAATATAAATCAGCAGCAACCGGAGCTAGAGGCTACTCCAGCTGAAAGCCAGAACAGGGAAGGACCACAGCCCCCACACACCTCGGAGAGACTGGCTTTCACCAACAGAGCTTTTGCCTTAGCAGTCAGTCAGCCATCACTGGCCTGAATGGGCTAAGTCCAGTCTTAACAGATTCTGACCCAAAGTGGCTCTGTGTTCATTACTCCCATTTTAACTGCTATTCATCCTCAGCATCATAGCAAGGACACTCACTGCTTCTCACAGACAAGTGACACTACCCCTCATGACCGTGACCCACTTAAGCATGAGATGCTTGTTCAGCGGGCAATGATTTACAAACATGGAGTGCTAATGGGTACAGCACTTCCAGTGATCCCAGAAAAGGCCGCAGTCCTTTTGCTCAAAATTAGTGTAACTGGGAATCATGAAAAACACATTCATTTACCCTCAGGATAATCACCATGGCAACTGCCTTCCAGGAAAATAATAGCCAACAGCTTCAGTACAAAGGCCACTATGGTATTTGTTAATGACACCATCAGCTCACACAAATCCAAAATATACTGAAATTTGCCAAATTTATGCCTGAAGAAATTGTAAGTAGGTATCTGCAAACTTCCTGCCATAACCCATCCCACCAGCTGAATCAACGGCAGTACCGTTCATCTCAACACTGCAGGGTCCTTTAACGTTCTTTGAACTGTAGAACAGTTTTAATGCAATGTTCTCTAATGTACACATTTTCATCTTTCAGACCACTTCTTTATATCAAAAGAAAACTTTATCTTATACTCAATCTCCTTGTCACTCCATGCTTTAGTATTCACTTTTAGTTATATGAGTTTCAATAATTAAACACTTACACTTTTCATTAAACTGAATGTTCTACAAAGGTAGGTCAACATCATCTTACAGTTAAGGTAATAAAGACTAATGCTCTGTTTTAGCCCTGGGAGGCTAAAACACTCAGGGAGACACACAATCTATGTATTCTTACAGGTATTCAGAGATATTGCAAGAATTGTTCTATTTTCAGAGAATGGCAGCTTTTGTGGGAAATGTGCACTGTTAATGGACAGGATTACAGATATCATATCTTATTTATATACAACAAAAAATATGCACCAAGTTGGGGTACAGAATGCACATCCCTGTTACACTGTGTAAAGCACCACTAAGGTGGCAATGGGAGCTCAGCAAACCACTTCACTCCTGGTGTGTTCCTAGAGTTTCCATGAAAGCACCTTACAGGAAACGATGCTCCTCCTTTCCGCCCAATACTACTTTTGCACACTACCACAGCCAAATAACACTGACCAGGCAGACTGAGAAACACATTTGAAGTGTGCTGCACCAACTTGTGCCCACTCATAACAGAGAATCTTACCAAGATGGCAATCCCTGGCCCCAGCTCTGCCTGCAGGCGAATGATGGAGGAATTCCTTCAGCACACATAAGGGATCCCCTTCCCAACCACAGCACTTCATTGCCCATCACAGTTCACAGCCCATTCTACCTTCCTGTTACAGGAACACCATTAGGTTGTTTTAAGCCAGACAGGGAGGTAGGTCAGATCTGTGTCCCTCCAGTCTCACCTCAGACTGAATCACTGGAGATTATCAACAAAAGCACACGTGTTGTCTGCTAAATACATCCTGTACAGCAACGTGGCATGATGAATGATTCAGACAGGTAGCTACCTTCAGCACAATTAGCTTTCCTTTTTTAACAAAACCCACTAATCAATGTCTCTTCTGAAAGCCAGAGAGGTGTGTGTTCAGCTGCCTTTCATAGTAGCTCACCATTAACTGACAAGACCACCACTGCCCTGGAACGTTGGCATCTACATCAAAGAAGGGACAACCGTGTCCAAGTAGTTTATAGAAGGAACAGGTGTTATCAGTGCACACTTGCCTCCTCTAAGCCCATACACAGGCAGTTAGCCAGCTTACTCATTCCAGGTTTAGAATATGTACAGACAGCTAAAAGCCTCCAGGAAAATATAACTGTGCATGCTGGTGACTTTCTATGCTGGGGAAACAGCCAAGGTTGTCCATCTCTTGTTACCTGGGTGGGATAAACCTGCACAGCAACAAGGCATATCCTACCTAGCTCTGCTACTCTTGTACATCACAGGCATATTGTCAAACAAGACTGCTCCTTTCTGGGAGCAGACACCACCATGTCTGTGCATCTGTGCACAGGAAGGCAAGCAAAATATCCTTCTTTCCTAACCTTCATTCCAGATGCCTCTCAGTTCAAGGCAAGTACTCTGTAACTTCATGTGAGTGCTTTATCGAAGCAAATAGAGCAACCACCGTGGCCTCCCAGGCACATTTCCACGAGTACTACATGTCTGTCACATACTTCAAAGAAGAAAATTTCTGCAGACTGTGGTGGTATTCAGGAAGTGAATGGGTGAGCAGTCAGTACAGCTTTTCTCAAGACAATCTTTTGAGTACTCCCACAGCAAGCCCAACCAAGGTCGCCCTCCATACAACGCCAGCTCCTACAGCCTCAACGTGTACATGCATAATCTACTGCTAAAAGCATGCAAAATGGGGCACATCAGCCTAAATTGAGAATATGTACACCTAGAGCTCTCTTTGCCCTAATCAGATGGCCTTTCCTTTTGATAGTCGTAACAGGCATACATACCTCAAAAGTGCTCAGGGTAGCTCATCTCTTTGCATAGATATGCTCACAGTTGTAATCCAAAAGTCATCAACAGATGTCTAACTTTTAAAAAAATTTAGAAGTATAAATTCCACATGAAAGTCAGAGGAGGGAAGAAGATATGATTTATCAGGTTCTACATTTGCAGACATCTGCAGTCAGTACTGTAGGTCATTTTCAGAGTAAATCTTGGCAACAAAGCTTCTTTGTAGAGGAGAAAGACCTGCCAAAATTAACAAGCAAAATAAGAAACACCATTAATACATGATAAACAATAAAACAGCACACATATTCAGAGTCCCCTTCAGAGAAAAGAATTAACTCATTTTAAATACTAGGTTTCTGCTAGCTTTGATGTATTTAAAATCAGAAGCAGCCTCTGAAGTTACCTCATATTCTGACTGCTTTAACCTAATAAATTATCTCAAGGAGGATTTCCTCTAAGCATTCAAATAATGTTTGATTCTATCAGAACATGCAACACTATGCCACATCACAGATTGCCCTGATTCAGACAAACCTTCCCAGCTCACAGAACACCTTGATGTTCATTGGGTATTTTCGCACAGGAGTGCTTGTATGACCAGTGTCAGACTAAAGAATCAAGCCTCTGTCCAAAACAAGGACCAACAGAGTGCGTGATGGAAGCCCCAACACAGCATGCACACAAAGTACATACTCGGGGGGTACCTGCATGGCATAAATGTTCAGCAGTGCTGGCAAACTTCTGAACTTCTCAGCTTTGGATTTAAGTTAGTAGAATGTAAACTTTTTTGGGGCAGAGACCTTCTGTTCTGTGTTTGCATTTCACATGGTATGTCAGATCTAGCTTCCAAATCAAAGTTCTCAATCTTATTTTGATAGAAGTGGTTTGTATTTTTGATACATGAGCAGGATTCTTCTCTATAAATAAAAAGGGTCAACTAGATCTGCATTACCATAAAATGCTTCTGAAAGAAAAAAGACATTACATTTTGCAAAAACATATTTAACTCCACACAATTGCCTGTTTCCTTCTTTCCTTTTTCCTTAACACACTTGGCTGAAAGAAAAATTTCGAGAATTTGGAGATTAAATTCAAAGAATCAGCTCCTTGTGCTGTGACAATATCCAGGGTCTCAACTGCTTAGGGGAGTTAAATATTTTAAGCGTTTAATCATAGCAGAATACTGAGTTTCTCAAGTGCAGGCAACAGACGTCTAGCCTGCCACCTTCACATTCCATCTCATTCAGCCATCTTCACTCTGCCCCGAGACGCTGATTTATCCTCTAGGAAACACTGTGCCAAGTTCACAGATTTGCTGACCTTGGAAGAGACTCTGGATGTCACCTGGGCCACCCAGTGCTCATTGCCTACAAACCACTTAAACAAGTCTTGCTATTGAGACACCGCCCTGTTCCTGGCCCCAGAGAGGTAACACAAGTCCCCATGACCTCCAGTCCTCACCAAGAGCACACGACCTCTGTGCCGAGCAGCATTCAGCAGCCCTTAGGGGACAGGCAAAAAGCACTCCCTGTATTTCAGAGGTGAGGAGACTCTAGGTCTATCAAGAGGCAGCCAAAGTCCAGCTCACTTGAGAAACACCTTGCACTTGGTAAATCCAGGTGCCAAAGTGCAGCTCTCACTGGCAGACAGCTACAGAACCACCTGAAGAGAGCACGCCACACCAGTAAATGTGCCAGGGAAGCCAACAGAGAGGGAAGACTCCTCCCCCAGAGCTCTAAGCAAAAATTCCTAGAAAGCCCAAGATATTATCAAACCAAGTCTTTCTGAATGGTTCAAAAACAATTCTCAGAAAGACCAGAGGAAACACTAACAGAAGGTCTGCCTGACTCCAGAGCAGCCACGGTAGCCAGCTCAGTCAGGCACAGGCCATTCACCCAAGCAGTGGAGGAGCTGACTTGCTAGATACAATCCATTTCCAGCAGAATGCAGCTCTCTAAACACACAGAAACAAAATCTGTAGACTTCCAGTGACTTCTATTTTGTATCTGAATTAGACTTAGGTTTTAACTACAGGAACTTCAGCTATGATTAAATAAGACGTGAGACAGCTCAGACCATGACACAGAACTGCTTAGAAAACCAAACTCAGCAACTTTTATGTGGTAAATGGAGGGCGTGACCCCCCCCCACCAAAAAAGAAGAGACAAAAATCCCAAACTCTATGGAACCTGAAGTTTCAATTTCTTTCTAAAGCAAATTCCACACAAAGTAGATCTTCCTCTGTTTTCAGTTTGCTTCCATACATTGGATGGCTTCCACACCAGCTGGGTGGGTTTATCCGGCAGCAGAACTGGATATAGCGGATACAGAGCTCCAACAAACTTGTTCATTTGCTGCCAGAACCCTGTGTGGCTGCAGAGCTGTTGATCGGTGCAAGTCCTGCAAGCTGGGGAGCCCCAATGTCCCCAGACGAGAGAAGGAAGAGTCCCTCCTGCCATCAAGACAGAAACAGCCCTTCCAGTGAGTACACCTACTCACCGGGCCTTCATTGCCTCTAGACACTTCTAGACGGACAAAGAATTTACACTAAGAGAAGGATCGTGATCAAACATGGAGTCACCTCCCACATCTTAATCTTGAGTAAGACGGAATCAGTGGCGAGCATGAGGGACAGCAGCACCCGCTCCCCGGGCTGAGGAAAACCCAGGGGCACTGGCTGAAGTCAAGGCACCACTACCTCAGTGACCACACCAGAAGCCTGGACTGTTACTAAGGGCTTCCAACCCGCAGAAATATCTGACTTTAAGAAAGTCAGAAACACCTGATTTTAAGGTTTGTGGATGATGGAAACTGTTTACTGATCCAGTGGGAGTTACATTACTGTCTTCTTTCTCTTCCTCCCCTAGCCTTCCACTCAGATCGCTGTACCTTCAGTTCAGACCTTTACACCTCCTACCCACCAAGAACCCTCATTACTTAAACTCTGTTATAGAGTTTTTTAGTGAGTGATGCCTCCACCCACCATGGGAGTTCTGGCGGGCCACCGCATTTGTCACTAATGCACACCAGGTACTTCTGTGTCGCCAGTGACAGCAGCTGCACACAAGTCACAAACACAGTGTCAGCTCTAAGTCTCGTGAATTCTGGCACTTGTAAAGCTTCGAAGCTGCTGCTTTACACCTTAAGTTCTTTACTTTAAGATTGTCACTGACAACCTGCTTTTAAGCCGGCAAATTCTGAACTCGCCATGAAATAATTCGTGTCTTAACCATCTCATTAAAGACAGCCAAGGCGAGCAGGAATCGGTGAAGCGAAAACGAAGACGCCTCAGCCGCCCCAAAACAGCGCGAGGGCCGCGGCGGTGCCTCGCGAATCCCCAGCACCGGCCACATGGGCGCGGGGCCGCCCTCGGGAGGGGCTGCGGAGACCGGAGCGATCGCGGGGGCCGCTCGGCAGGGGCCGCTCGGCAGGCTCCGCTCGCCGCCGCCGGGCCGGACACCGCCCCGCGCAGCCCGGGCCCTGCGCCCCGGACGACGGCCCGGAACGGGGGGAGCGGGCCGGTGGGGCCGCGACTCGGCCAGAGGGACCTAAACCGGCCGCAGGAACGGGGGCGGCGAGAGGGAGCGCGGCCGAGCGGCGGGACTAGATGCGGGTGAGGCGCTCGCGATGGGCGCACCCGGGGCCGGTCCGGACGGGTCCCCTCGCCCCGTCCCGCGGTTCCCGGTGTTCTCCCGCCCCGTTCCCCATCTCGCGGTCCGTCGGTCACTCACCGGCCGAGCGGCGGCCGCTCCATCCCCGCGCGCCGCCACCGCCCGGCCCGGCCGCGTGACGTCGCGCGAGGGGCGGGGCCGGGCGCGCGCGGTGGCGTCACCTGCGGGGGCGGGCCCAGTGAGAGGGCACACCCCCAGTGCGCCTGCGCGCTGAGGCCCCGCCCCAGCACCTCTGCCCCGGTCACGTGCGAGCTGGGCGGGGTCGCGCCCGTTCCCGTTCCCTTCCCCTTCCCCTTCCCCTTCCCCTTCCCCTTCCCTTCCCTTCCCTTCCCTTCCCTTCCCTTTCCTTTCCTTTCCCTTTCCCTTTCCATTCCGCGGGGCCTCGGCCCTGCCTGGCCCGGTCCCGCCCGCGGGCGGCGCTCGGAGCGGCTCTCGGTCTCTGTGCTGCCGTGGCGGGGGGCTCCTGGCGCCTTCAGACACGGTTTTTCTCTACTCACCTATTCCGTCTCCCCAATCCCCTTCCCGCTGAGCCCGGCCCCTTCGGGCGCAGCCACGTGTGAGCTGCCTTGTGTGGCTCTGGCCTTGAGACCCCGACACCCCCGCACAGGTGAGTCACGGCGCCCTCAGCCCTGACTAAAGCACAGCCTTCCAAGGAGCAGGGAAAACCCGCCTCCCGCTGCCAAACATCCTTGGCTTGACCTCTGTGTCAAAGGACCAGAAAAGGACAGTCATGCCAGGGTTGACTCTGAATAGTTACTATGGCTTGAAATGTCCTTAAAAGGTAAAATGCATGCATTTCTACCACAGCAGACACTCCAGCCTCAGGTATCTCAGAGTAATAGCATATTCCCAGCTGAGCATTAAAGGGGCTGTCATTTGATCTTCTGGCTCCTATGACTAAATTGCTGTAGCTTTGCTCTCATGGTCCAGAAATTCTAGGGAGCCTTCAATGAAATTACTGCTCATTTTAACTTGATGGATGCCTTTTAGATAATGGTGTAATGCAATAATATAGTGAAAAATACACTTCCATTTTCAAGATGCTCTGTCTCTTGTAACTGGTCCAATGCAACCAAAGAAGTTGATAAAAGAAAAGCAATTAATGCAAATAGTAATAAAAATTCTGTCTTTTCCATGTGGCATTTCCAAGAAAGTCAGCCCTATATCATTGCTCTTGAGCTAGGTAAATGTGATCAACCCCCACTGCAGATGGAGGTGCTGTATTAAAAACAGGTCCAGCCCAGCATAATGGTCAACATCAGCAAGGAACATCTGGGCCTCACAGCTGATCTGCACAACTTCTCTGTGTACACCAGCACGTGTCCTTGTTCCGTGCCTGGATTGCCGTGGATTCCCAGTACTGTGCAGGAATGAAACCCTGGACAGCCTTTCCCCTTGGCAAGGCACAGCTACTGCACGGAGTGTGAGTGTGAACCAACTGCATTCAATCTCCTTCTTCTACCCAGCACTGTCGGCAGCTCACAGCACCTGGGCTCACCGGGTCCCACTTCAGCGGCCCGTGCACCCCACAGCTGCCGATGGGCACCCACAGCACTGGGTTGAACACTACGCTGCCTACGGGCAGCCACACCTCGCACTGCGTAACCTCGGGGGTGCCCAGCAGTCAGACCTGAGACAAGACGTGTCACACGCGTGTCGGCTGCGCTCGCATGGGCTGAGCACAGGGCAGGGCCGAGCGCGGGGGACACCCCGGGAGGAGCCGGGGACACCCCGCACGCGTGGCCCCGCCGTGGCAGCTCCTTCCGCCAGGGGGCAGCAGCGCCCCAGCCAGGTAGAGGAGCTGGGCCCGAGCTGGGACTGGGCAGGAGCCGAGTTGGGCTCGGGCTGGGACCGGGCTGGGACCGAGCTGGGACCGGACTGGGATCGGGACCGGGACTGAGCTGGGACCGGGCAGGGACCGAGCTGGGACCGGGCAGGGCTCGGGACTGGGACTGAGCTGGGACCGGGCAGGGCTCGGGCCGGGACCGGATTGGGATCGGGACTGGGACTGAGCTGGGACCGGGCAATAGGTGTTACGGACACACACTCGGGCAGACCGCACATACCGATAGCTCCGGGGACAGGGCACACTCACATTAGGGCTGAAACACCTGTTTCATATCCATTGTCCGGGCTAGACTTTCATACTGGCCTTTACTGTTTACTACTGACCCGTAACCTGCACTTTAACTTGACAGAAGTATTATTTTCTGTAGAAAATCTCAAAACTGAGACTTTGTTGATCTCCTGTCTGAGAATCAAGAGAGAAATGGTTTAATCCTTCCATTGTACAAAAAGGGAAGAATGCCTGAACTGAGGAAATGTGGAACTACTTAAATCTTTGGTAGCAGGGCACTGTTGGACAAGTGGGGAAGGCACACAGCACTACTGCAGCATAGCAGAGGTTTCAGGATCCTATGTAGGCTGGATCTGCAGGTGAAATAAATCACAGCATGTGTCTCAGACTGAGTAGCCAAGCGGTGTCCCTCTACCATGGAAAAGGGTGGGCAGGCACCACTCCTGCTGCTGTTCCTGGGAGTTCGTACCTGCCCCTCTAATGCAGTACTCACTTCAGTGGTGACCTACATCGTCACCACTGACAATTTATCAAATATTAGCACACTACTCATTAGTCTGAACCCCTGTAAAAGTGCTCAACAGCACTACATCACACAGAGTGATCGTGTTCATCCTTGGAGGGACCACAAGAGCTTCACTGCCTGTTTGCTGCTGACGCTCCTATCAGCAGCAGCTGCTCTTTCCATCTACGTGTCTGTCCTGCCTCACACTTCAAGCCCATATGCTAAGTTTGTAACACTGAATTACAAAGATTGGGGGGTGTAGTAAAAGTGAGGTTTTATTCAAACCAATTTAGTGCTAAGATGGATTTGGGAAACATAGATTCAATTCAGTTAGAAATCAATAATCAAACTTGACTATTTTAAATTCACAAAAACATTTCTGCATTTTTTCCTTAAAAGTTCTTTGCAAACTGCAATTGAAATACCTAAGAACTTTCTATCCAATAAAATGCTGGGATATGAATGAAATTTAGAATCCGAAGGCCTTGTAGTTATTCAGGCCAAATGAGCTGGTTCAGGGAACAGACTGTGAAGGACAGACTTGTACTGAGCATATTCTTTCCATTTTCAACAGACTGCTGGAGTAGGCTCAGCTTCAGTGGTACTGTGTGACCTGAATATTCACAGTCTGCCTAGAAGCACTGATCAGGCTGGGAAAAACAAGAAATGCAAGAATGCAGAAAGTCCTTGTGTTCCACTTTTCCCCTGTCTTCCATTTTAACTGTCTATATGAGAGAGAACAAGGGAGTAGGACTGGCTGAAGAACTGCATTATGCACTTGTGCCTTTTGGGGAACTGAGGGATAGCCCGAGGTGAACAACTGATGATGGACTTATGATGAATTCAGGTCGCTGACTTCAGATCTGCATGACAACATCTGAATTTGGGATATTTAA